AAAAAAAATTGAGGAGAACCTGAGTTATCAGAACAAAGTGAATCCAAAAATTCGCATTTAAATATGCAAAAATAAGCAAACAAATAAAAGAAAACCATCTTTTTGCGTAACGGGCCGGACATTTGATGAACCCAACTTCAAAGTAGTAAAACTCGTAAGTACTTACTTTTAGAAATCCAACTTTTGCGAGCACGTATTTGTTGTCATGTTTTTTGTGAGATCAAAACATAACTTCAAATAGTTGTGAGCCAGGAACAGTAAAAAAGTGCTGCCAACTTACACCTTTTCCAGACCTAAAATACACTGTACAGCACCAAGTCATAAAACAAACAAAAACACACAAAATAAACAAGAAAAATCGCAAAACCCGTATATTTTCGGAAACTAGAAGTTATTTGCCGTTCAAAAATGTATTCAAAAAGAAGTTTCACTGTATTTCAATTTTAGACCCTCAGGTTGACCTTACCATGGACCGACCCTAATGCGTAATGCTACAAGGGGGAGGAGGGCCGAAAAGAGCGTTTCGCTACTGGGTTCTTGAATGTTAGGGACATACAGCACAAAAATATTAAGGGAGGGGGGGGGAGGGGTCGAAAAATCCAAAATTTAGTATTACGTATTTTGAGAGCAGCCTTCATGAGTTTCCAGATCATAAGTCACACTCTCAACATGCGAAAAACTTAACTGGCACCAGCTGCTGATAGAAAATATGAGATACCATCTAGATGACGGACAGTTATTTATTCCATTAAGGGATTAATACTATGGAAAAAGATAGATGTCCGTCTGGAAGACAGAAGTAAACACACAGTAATGATTTGAAAGGGACAAGGGTAAAATTAGATGGTAAATCATTGAATTAAACTATGGCAAACCTAACCCAGCAAAATTTTCACCTGTAGTCTTTACGGTGCTTTTCTCTTCACTTGCCATTGGTATCTTCAGTTAGTACTTTTAGGAGTCAAATACCTAATACTTCTACAGTCATGATAAATCATGGAGAGTTATTTCATCTTGAAGATACGCAGAAATCTAACTGGTTCAAGATGCTACAACTATGTGAACAACTAGGTAAGGTGTCCAAGAGCGAACCCTCAGGGACCATACTCACCTAAAGTGTGTCATGAAGGGTCAGAGTGGAGCAGATGGGTATGCAAAGCAAGCATGAGTGGGAGAGATTGAGAGACTGATCTTACATTTAGGAGAGAAAGAAAATTTTCCAGGAAAATATTGGATAATACTACTTCCGACAGGAATCAATGCAGGACATAACACTAATTTAGTTATTTCAGTATGTAAGTACGCTTCTTTTGGAGAGTATGGTAATGTAACGTAAAAATGGATTATTAGAAACTGCTTCTGAAATTCTCTTTCTAATACCATTCAGCTTTCAGTAAATTCAGAGAACTATAATGCATCCCACTGACAATGACTGATAACGGACCATTATTGAGTGTCGTCCGGTGAAAGGGACAGAAAGTAAGATCACTGTGCCACATAATTGTCCATATGCTGTTGAGAGCACATTTCCATGCCCCAACCTTGCATTTAATGGCTCGTATATAGAAAAATCTGTAGATAATAAAAATTGAGTAAATATAGGAGAAGATAAACTTTTGAAATCATATTCACAACAAAATGATGCATCGGTCGATCTCTACGGATCCCAAACAACAGCTATTTTATTCAAATAGAATGGAGCCGAGAACTTGATACTTACAGGGGTTTTTGGCACAGTTGAATCAGCTTCTTGCATTGTGATTAGATACTTTAACTAAAAACCATTGATATTTCTAACACTGATGAGAAGCATTTAAATCGGCCTGTCACTAAGCCATTCAAAAGAGCAGTACAAGTCATTGCACTTCTAAAACATTTTTTCGCTAACTGAGACCTCTATTGCACGGAAAAAGGTTTGAAATTATTTGCGGCGACACTTAACTTAAAATCCCGAGCGGAAACAAGTTACCGAAAAGGAGGCGTTGATTAGAAATCAAACTTTTAGAAAACAAAACACGACAAAATAATGGCGTCACCGACCGTCACGGCGTTGACAACAATTTTGGAGGTAATAAAAATCTTTGAAAATGCACCTCTGTGATTGGTTCGTGTAAATCACGTGGGTGCAAGATCGATTCTTTTAGAGATTTGCCAACCCTTGAACACAAGATAAATTTTAGAACCTACTTGCTAAGGTGATTTAAGAAATTATCTGCCTCGTTTGAGACAATTGAGAGTGAACTTTACTGGAACAATATTTTTTGTTCTATACTCTAACTGAATGTTGCATAGAAAAGATTTATCTGTCTGCGTAAAAAATGAGAATGATGAATGTTTTGTCAAAAACTTTGCGATCTTGATGTGGCAAATCTGAATTTACTGAATTGGCGGAAAATACAAAAAAAAGAGCGACTGTCATTCCTGGATGAATGTGCCGAGCTGCATTTCATTTCTAATTTTCTAACTTCCTCTCATGTATTATTTTTTTACGGGGAACTAAACAACTCAAAATTTTGTAACTTTTTCTGAATTTCCCTCAGATTTTGAAAAAATACTTAACAAAATTTCAAGTTAGAATGTGGCTCAGTTCTCTGGTAAAAAAATAAAACAGAGGAAATTTGGCAATGCCTAATGTAATCAGGCTGATTTGGGGGTAATCCGTCCGTTTGATGATTAACTTAGCGGGATGTTTCCTTCAAACAGGCTGATAGATGGACCAAATCATTTCATTTCAAAATTCTGACTCATAGAGAATAGGAGTGTCTGAAGAAAAACTAAAAAGAGAGAGAAAACATTGTCAAAAGACTACTATATGCTTATTTAATCATTCATCTACGATGAAACAAAATTATGCGGTACAGATTTGTTAGAAGAAAAAAATTGCATCTTATCTGATGATACAATATTGTTCAATCTCACTAGAGCTTGAGAGTTTTTCAATTACGAGTAATTTAAAAATCGCCATTCATACCTGTACCACAAGGAGGCAATCTCCACAGATCAAAACGTAAAATTATGTTACACGAATATTACTTATACCTAACCCCCCCCCCTCCTTTACTAGTTCCGATAAAGTAAGTATAAGGATGTGCTCATCCCATTAAAAAAACATTAATAGTAGGTAATTCTTTCTTTATTATGTAAGGTACTTTCTGAGCAGGTACCATGCTAATCTTTTTTAGACAGTTTAACAATTTCATAAAAAAACATACATATATACTGGTAACATACAAAATATACGGTAAAAAATATGACAAATTAATGCACTTATCATGTTGAATTCTCATGGGTAAGAGAAAAGAAAAAATGCAAATAAACAACCTATCGACGGTGTAAGTCGGCAATCAAATAACTCGGTTAGCAACGTCGCAGACTTCCTGTCATACTTTATTATTTAAACGGGAAACTACTCAACGGCAACTCTTTGAAACTGCCGTGATTTTTCTTCTCGGTGCGTAGAAAATTCTGCAAAAACTTCAAGGAATGATGCCAATTTGTTCTCCTATAAAAAAATAACATAAAGGCGGAGATTGTCAGGCACCACAAACGAGTTATGTGATTGCCGACTTACACCGTCGATATGAACAAAAGTAGAAAGATAAAAAATTTATGAAAACCTCATAAGTACTATAGAGCTACAAACAAAAATCAAATAAAAAAATACATATTTAGGGACATTTGGTAGACAGTATGTGATGCAAGAACAGTCTTAAAGAACACTGTTGAGCATGCTCTTAGGATATGATAAATTTTTTCACCTTTTGTACCTTTGGCAGAGAGACACAAATATTTACAGAGAAAAAACAGATGAATGTCAATATCATTCCATATTTGAAATCCATCTAAAAGAAACAGCACTTGTATAATTTCCAACATTTACGATTGAAATTAAAATTTACTAATATTAAGTGTGCATTCCACTAACTATTCTTCCTCATTTTCTCTTCAACCTAACTTTATCTGTCCACTTTTCTAGACTAAATTCAGTGCTTTTGCCATTAAAACAAGTGCTTTTGCCATAAAAACAATAAGGGGTCAAAATAAAAATTAAAAAAACATGGAAAATATTGTAAATTAAACATTGTTCAAGAGATTGGTTTACAAAAGTACCTACACATTGCTGTTCCTGAGATCCCAAAGTAAAAAATAAGGCAAGAGGGTGTAAACTCCTTAAAATATTAAAGACCAACTGGTCACAGGGGAGAACTATCCATGATCTAATACTGCATTTTGTGATTGCAGAATGATGTGTTCAGTAGTTACATGCAGTGATGTTTTGCTAAATAGGTAGAGAGATTTCAGTGGGTTTTACATCTTTTACACATTTCAGAACAACTCACCCAATTCAAATATTTTTGTTTGTTTAAAATGTTACAAAAAAGTTTTCCTTGAGATATTCAAATCTCTCAGAGCAAAAATAAGATATAAAAATCCTCTGAAGAGCAAGCCAGAAAAATATTTCAATTTTTAAAAAATGCGAGATTGAAAATCACTCATCTCTGAAAAATGAGAAGAATTGAAAAACACAAGTGCGGACAGTCGAGTTACAGAGGTATCGATGGTTTGTACTCACAGATAGAAGAAAGTTTTGATTTTGCTATAATATAGAATTTCCAAAGGTTAGGTTAATAGAGTAACCAAATATATAATATAATAGATATAGTTTGATATGAATATACCTAAAGCTACATATGTACCTGACTTTACTGAGCATCCTGGCTTTAATGGCTTATTATTTGTGCTTCATTAGCTTGCAAACAGTTCACAGCTTTACCAAAAAAGACACAAAAGAAAGTAAGCCTTTGTTGTATCACATCTTTCTTGGTAAGAAGGGCATGTGTAATACTGTGTAACACATTAAAGAATAGTCTTAGGCTCCAATTAACTTGGTCATGGTCATGTATATCTGGTAAAATTTGGCAATTACATGAGAAAGACAAAAAATAAAAATTGAGAAAGAGAAGACAAAAACGGCAGAGGAGAGATACAACAATAAAAAAAGTAACAAAACATGATTTACGAAGAATATGGAACACTTTGTCATGAAATATTAATTGTCATTTTGATTGAGTCACAGCAAATATATCTTGCTAAAATGTTGACGAAAAAAGAAATTTAAAAAACTACATTTTTAAAGGAGCCAAAACTTAAAAATAAATTCTACAGAGCTATACCTCACTTTCTTTTCAATTCAAAATATGATGACATTGTTATGATCTTAGGAGCTGATCATAATGGGAACCAAATAGCAGGTTATCAATTTATTTTACTTTTTCTTTTATTTTAAAATGTTAATTTCTAAAAATATTGCATGTCTTTGGTCGTTAGTTCTGGAGAACAGCTAGAGAGGAAATGAGGTATCTACTTTACTCTTACACTTCAACAGTTCTCCTAAAGAATTCCCTGAATGCTCTGGCAAAATATTGTTTTTAGGATGAAAATCAACTTTCACTTGAGAGACTGGAAACAAGAACAAATACTTTTTTACAATTTGCGACTAGTCTGGAAACGTAATACAAAATACGTTGCGAACTTAACACCTAAAAATAGTGCTAAGATAAAAGAGTAATCCCGCAAATAATGTCCATCTTTTAGACCAAGGTCATGGAGCAACTTTTTTGGCATTCTAAAATGACAATACATTTCTGAACAGTCTAGGACAGGTCGGTTGTAGCCATAAATGGCACTCATAACGCCTTCCAGCGCATACTTCATAAAACTGATTTCGAAGAGCCATGAGAAGTACGATGGTGCATCTTTGGCTCGAAGGAAAAATCCTGAGAAAATAACCCATGGAAGACAGGTCAAAGGACCAAATATTACTCCATTCTGAAAAAATATACACAAATGCATTAATAAACTACACACAACTGATCAAAATAATTGTAAGAGAATATTGTTGAAAAACCAAAGACAATTCAAATTGAAATATGAACCTAGGGTATATTATTTTCAACACCTTCACACTTGAGTGGAAATGATATAAATAAATAAAAGTTTAAGATGCATAGCCTGCTCTAATATCACTGTCAGAAAAGTGAATCTTCCATTACTGTTTAAATCAAGGTATGTATGGCTCATTTTGGGAACATTTTCAATCTGTGACAATCCTGAGGATCAGTGGCAAAATGTGGGTGATCGACTATCGAAATTTCTCCATTTGAAGCTTTGGTACAGAATCAATTATTGTGTTTATTGCGAACGCCCTGTTTATAGATAATTCTGTAGGTCTGTGGTCTAGGTCTTCTGTAGGTCTTCTGTAATGTCTGATATTCTGTAGGTTTAAATGACAGATCAATCAATAAATTGAAATGCACGCTGGAGAGAGAAAGAATGATCATGTGGTCTTTGGAAACTTATAATATTATCCCATCAAAAATTCAAAAGATAAGATTATAGGTTCCTGAACCATGAAACAGCTGTGTCGGTCAATTGGAAATCAATAATAGGAGTTCAAAACAGAAATCTAACAGAGTGATTCCTTCTTTTCAGAGGATCTGTGGATGGTAGTCACAGAAATTCAGGATTAAAATTCCCTAACATTTCTAGATTTTACCTGACCAATGAGATCCTTTATCAGAGATACCTATCTACACTTACCTATTGCATAAATAACCAAAGGTGGTTTAATCCAGGAAAAAATAAGAAAATACTCACTTTGACATCGAGTAATATTCCGACTAAAACACCAACAGCTTGAGTCAGTAACGTAACGGTTGAAAGCATAGTGAAAAACAATAAAAATCGGTAGAGTTCTAATGGCTGAGAAGACATGACAAAGACTGTTATGGAATAAATCAACACGCTCAGAATCTGTAAAAAAAAATGTATGATTATTATCAATTTAGTGAGTAAACTTTCTTGATATACAGGATAATCCGTAAGTCCCACACTTCCGGCACCTAGCATCACTCCTGTAATTTTTGAACCAATTGAGATAGAGACTTGAAATTTGTTAAGAGTTTGTCAATACCTCTGGGTCAAAGTAAACGACTTTCAGGAACCCTCAAAATGTTAAAGGGACCACTCACAATCAAAGGGCAAAAACTATAGGAACTATAGGGGTCGTAAGGGTCTACTGGATCATCCTGTATATTGGACAATATTTTGAAAAATGTTTTAACTTCTTTTGTTTCCCATTTTCTATGGGCAAGCAGCTTTTTATGAGATGCAAGGAAGCTTGAGGACTTTTTCTTTTTCAATACTAGGATTTTCAGTTTTTTTTTTTTTTTTTTGGGATAAAAAAAGGGCAACGAGGCCAAAAATGAACATAATGGCTTAGTAATGGGTATTACTTCAGTAGATACAGGCAGATGTAAGAGAGTCAAATATTGAAGTGAGATTGAAAGTGTCTGTTGCAAAGTTTTTGATTAAAAATACAGGCTGAGTACTTTGCATTTATTCACACAAAGCTTCAGGTATTGAGCTTGAAATGGACCGCGTTAAACAGAAAGGAACCAAGCCACATATGCTATTGCCAAATTCATTTGGGCACTTAAATTTTTTACATGTAAACGGTTGTGCGGATTTTCGTGCAAATCTCGTTGAAAATTCTGCATGGTACGAAGCAAATTCCTTAATATTTTCAAAGAAACCCGAACAAAAGCTCTCTCGTAAAAAATTTAATTGCCCAGTTAAACTTGGCAATAGCTGATGTGGCTTGGTTCCTTTCTGTTAAACTCGGTCCAAATGGGAGTGCGCATCTGTGACCTTTAGCTCTGCACTTCTGCAGCATGTGTTTTAATGGTTGCTCTTTGAGTTAAATTTTTTACACCCCATTAAGATTATATCCTTATCAGATGCTATTGGTGGAAAAACAAGGGAAAGGAGACCTTTTAGCAGACTTTAAAAAAGAGTAATCTTCGTTAATAAGGCTCAAAATATTGGAATTTATGTTCTTCACTGACAAAATTCTGTCATATTCTAGATATTAAGTTGTGAGTATTTTAATTTAAAACTTCAAACATGATAGATAAATAACTTTCTTTGGAAACTTTCTTATCTTTGGAAAAACTTTCCTCTACAGTAGTACTCATGCAGTTATGGTCATGCTCATTCTATGTTTTTTTGCATTGAGGTCTCTAATCCTGCGGATGGTCAGGTACTCTTGGAAAATATATAGAGAAGCACTGTTGAATATATTTTTATGAGGTAAAATTCCTTTCAACATGAATTTGAATTCTCATTAGGTATTCATTGTATTCTCATGAAGTTTAAATTGGAATTTCAACATACCTGTATTGGTGCGTCTGATATTGAATTTGTGATGAAATAAGCTTCCAATGAATACCATCCATTGAAATGTTCTCTTGATACGATGGGCATCTCTTCGGGGAATGTTATCAATTTAGATTGGAGAGATGTGAACATTAAAAATAGAACAGAGAAGAAAAGTAAACTAAAATTGTCAAGTGTGTGAGCAGCATCTTGACCTATACCTGTAATAAATGAAAAATACAATTTATCAAATTATCTGAGAGAAAAGAGAGTAGTCAAGGATTAAAAACAAATCTCAGTACTACAAGTTTTGAAAAGTTTCATTTTTTTGTCAAAGTAATAATGACAGATCTATCTACCTGTAAAGTTTTACGGCAATCAACAGATAATTATATTGGAAAAACTTGCTGCTTCTAAATTCTGAGGGCGCAGAGCGCCTGTGAAGTATTGAGCCAGTTGCTACCAGGAATTTTACTGTACTATTGTATAATTTTTGAAAGTTGATCCAGTTTGATTCAGCACCATGATTATTTAAGCTATTTCAAATTTACATGAAATTCAGTTTTATAAACACTGAAATCCTCAGTGTACAAGATTTATCTAAAAATCTCTCAAAAGATAAGGCGTTTTCTGAATTTTGCTAATGGCGAATATGGAAAAATGCTCTAAATTTTAATAACAATTTTGGACAATTTTGCCAGTGATTGGTAATTGCATCTGTTGTTCATGGATCTGGAAAAGAAACTTAAAATATGTCCATGATTATGTTTGTAAGAGTAATGTAGATTGTGAGATAACTACCATAGTAAAAAATTCCTAAAAGGAGAGCGACTAAAAAATGCAACGTCAGTCTAGTATTTGTCAGGAAGCTATCCCGATAAATTTTGATTATATCCCTCCACAGTAGAACTCGAAACTGTGTAAGTACAGAGCATCCATAAGTGTGTTGATAACTGAAGTCAGCATTATCAAATTCGAGAGGTATCACAGATTGAGGGGTATCATTAGATCCAGATGGGATTGTTTCCTTATCTTTTTTCCATTCCTGGTTTTTTCCATTGCTTATATGTTTGACTAAGGCATCAACATGATATCCCAAAGCTCCAGAAGCTAGCTCGATCACTGAAAAGAGATATGACAAACTTAAAATTGCAAGTGAGGATGGCTATTTCCTAAGTATTCCTAATGTTACCAGTCCTTCATTTAACAAACATTTCAGGGAAATAAAAAGGCTTGTATTTGAGACATCACACTAGTCATGACCTCACTAGGTAGAATTTAAGATGAAAAATCTTGATCATCATGCGGCTTGGCAACAATATTTTTGCAATTAAATTTAACTATGTGAGTTTTTCCACTTTATTTTCAGTTGATGCAGAGATTTGATTTCACCTTGCTCACCATTAACTAATGTGAGCAGAAAATTCGATTTTGGTAATTTCAAAGTAAACGATTCCGGCTAATACCTCACGGACAAGTAAGACTCTTGAGTATTTCTAAAGGACCAATTTGTTCAGTGTGAAATTTTCAAGAGGAATGTGTCTTCTTACCCTGTCTAGTGACCTGTCAATAATAATAAAACTTAGATTTTTAACAATCATAAATGCTTTCAAACTCAAAACTTACAAAAATCAACTGGATTATGATACGTTGGACATTCAAAGCCAATGGAGCTTAGAAAAGGGATCAAATTTCCTGGAGATCCTTGGTAGACACATTCACCATTTGCCAGACAGTAAAGGTTATCGATTAAGTTTAGATGCGAGGCACTTGGCTGATGCAGAGTGCAAATAATCGTCCGACCACCAGATGCAAGTTGCTTTAGAATTGACAAACATTGTTTTGCTGATGTGCTGTCAAGTCCACTGTCAGAGAAAAAAAAAATTGAAATTAAATTTCAGGAGTACAAAATTGTGGATTTACATATTGATAAACTATCAGATATCAGAGATAAGATGATGAGGAAGAAGAAAAAGGGAAGAGGAAAATTAATAAGTGGTTCCATGTAAGTAAACAATTTTGTGACCTCATAGAGTGTTGGTTTAAAGTTAGTTAAGGTGTTTTAAAAGTTGAAATTCATAGTAAAATCAGTCAGGCTAACGCACAATTTTCACTAATACTTCAAAATGGTTGGAATCTACTTAGATACTATATGTATATTGATATGTGTTCTGTAATAGCATTGGGAAAACTAATTTTAAAAAAATAAAAATAAAAACTTGAATAGCCTAAGTAAGGTACTTAGGCGATAAAAACGAACTTAAATACTCAATAGGAAAGGACTGGTGACTAGATTTGAGTGTTTTTGTTATCTATATTCATTACCATGTAAGTGCCATAGGTTTACGGACAGTAGGTCTAGAAGAAAAAGGGCTACAAAAAAAAGGGCTACCTTCTTTGGTCTACAGTCAAAATGTCTACATGAAAATGCCTATTAAAATAGTGTCTATAGTAAAATATGTCTGCGGCATTAACATGTCTTCGGTTTGATTGCCTACTCCAAAAACGTCAAAGTACGTATTTATGTCGTCTGATAAGAATCTCATTTGAAAGTGTATCCCCAAAGACAGGACGAGACTGTGGATGCTGCAGAAGCTGATGCGTAAAAATTGTGAGTCACACTTCGCAAATAATTCACCATATAAATATCAACATGTATATGTTATGAATATTTTATTTAATTTTTAATTTTATAAATGTATTTTATATATTTTTAGTGGCCAACATAAATATTTTGACATTTTCTAAGTGGGCAAACAAACCGCAGACATTTTAATAGCGTAGACATATTTAACTGTAGACATTATTTAAGTAGGCATTTTAATGTAGACGTTTTGACTGTAGACTAAAAAAGGTAGCCCTTTTTTTTGTAGCCCTTTTTTCTGTAGACGTACTGTCTGCATACCGTGCCGTAATTAATTTCTAGGGCTTCCTTCTTGCGCATAGTTTTTTAATAGTTGTAAGTTGATTCAACTTTCAGTCATCATTATAAAAAAATAAAAGCTACAAAAAAGAATTGTTTGCCATTTTTAATGGGCAGGGTAAAAATCTAACAAATACAACTGGAATAAAGAATTATTCATGAGTTAATCCGTATCTGTTTCATTTCTTGATTGAGCACGTTCTTGATGCACCAAAAGAGAAGACCGCCTGTACATGTCGCAGGCAATCAGCAATCGCCGGCAATTTGCAAGCTCCGTACTTGTCAATTCGTCAAATTGCAATTACAGTGACATCGATGTAGTAAAGGTTTCTTAAGCGAAGAGATGCAAGGCACGACCTCAGCTTTGAACGCCTTCAAATCCAGCGATACTCTCAGCTTTGCCGCAGAGTTAGTTTAGTTGCTTAACCTAACCAAACCCAACGCAGATTATTGATTACATTTCACGAACTCGCGAGTGTGCTAGCTGGTACCATGCATTCAAGAAGAAGGGGATGACGTATGTTTGAATTCAAAGCATAGTAATCACTACTTCCTATCTCGTTTTTACTTTTTTCACTTTAAATTTTTTTAATTTGTTGATTCAACACGAAAAGATTGCAATTTGCCGGCGATTGCTCATTGCCTGCAACATACATATCAAATTATGTTCTGTAATTTTGTCGAATAAAAACACTATGTCTAGAGTAATTAATTCTCAAAGGCGAAGAAAAAATAATTACATACCTTGTTGGCTCATCAAAAAACATAAACGGAGGATTATTGATAAGTTCCAGAGCGATGGATAATTTCTTACGCTCTCCACCACTCAAAGTTCCAGCTAGCGTGTGTCTATGTGATATTAAGTTCATCGAGTCAAGTACTGAGTCAACCTGTGTTCAAAAAAATAATCAAATTGAGGGGATACTTGTTGGAATATTGCAATTTTTATAGCTGTCGAACTGATTAAAGTTGAAGATAAAATGATCAGGCTCTTTTTGGGGGGTAAGTATTTTTTCTAAATTTGTGACAATTTTCAATCATTAGAACTCATCAAACCTCTATTTGAAAGCTATTTAAAATCCAATCTGCTACGATCAGGGCATGCAATTGTCGGATTTACACTATTCTGTCAGAATTTCAAAGTCTGATTTTTCGACCCAACTCAACAAAAATTACGTAACTGAAAATTTTTTTCCTATAAGCTCAGGTCTTTTTTTTTTTTTTGTGAGAGGTCACAAATAAGATGTCCTCTGTGCAGCTAAAATTTTTTTAAAGCAAATAAACTTAAAAGAGATGAACTTAGGTATCTATGATGAGAAAATCGTAATCATTAGTCGATTCACTTTTTGTTTCTAGAATACAGCTAAAGACAAATCCTGCTCCTGTTTGAATCATTTGAAAAAATTTACTTAAATGTTGTTCTTAAGTTAAGATTAAAAAACCCTCACGACATTGCTACTCTAATTCTGAACAGAAGTAAAACGCAGATACAAATTTTGATCAAGATGATTTGTAACGGATCAATTGTGAATAATGATTATTCACTTTAAAACTAACAAACTCATTTTAACAATGTCGATTGGACCGAGTTAATTGGAGAGAAACTAACCCACATTGAGTTGAAAGTGAAATACAGAGATGTGAAATTTTTAAGACGCATTGTAAAAATTAAATTTTAATTCCGAACATCATGAACAAAGTACTCTGCCTTGCCTTAGCATTTTAGGCATGCAATTTCGGTAAAAAAATTCATTCGGTTGGATTTCAAACCACCCGAAAAATTGATAATCACGTGAAAATATGCTCCAAATTACTTTTCATTTTCCCTAAAATGTAGGCTAGTTTCTAATCGTTCATTTGGTCTAGTTCTAAGAAGGCAGTATTTGTTCCAGACATGCATCCAGGAAAAGTGTAGAATTAACGAACTTGAAAACAAAAAAAAACCAATAACACTTACAGGTTGGTGTATTCAGGAACATCAAATTCAATTTGAGGCTATGAATCAATGCTTATGATAAATTTTTCCTTACAATCGTTACTTTGATTTTTTAAACTACCATGAGGGAGGGGGAGATCGAGAGAAAATGAGGGGGGAAGAGGGGAGTAGGACAATTTGCCATGATGTCTTGAGGAAACAAGAGCCCCATTACAATAAATTATCATGCAGAGTATGATGTCAAAGTTTAATGACACTGATACATTAGGCATGCACCTTTAAACATTCATGAGAGCTAGTAATGAGCAGTAGAAACTACAAACATCTGAAATGATGGCTAAATGTCGAAAAAAATTACTCAAATTAAAAGTATTTCATGCATCAGATAGATTTCTACCCTCGATGCTGTCTTCCAAGGACTGATTACTCACCATTCTGGCAGTCAGGAATTCATTGATTGAGACAAGAAATTATCCCTAGGGAGCTCTAGATTCTAATGTCTGTATATAAGATTCATTAACAATTAACGAGGAATGCGACGACCTCTTTGGTTCATTGTAAAAGTTTCCAGGGTGGAAACTAACAGAAAACGATGCAATTAAAGAATATATGTTGCATGCTTAAATGCTGCATGCATGGGATATTTACAAATATATGCAGGTATTTGGTGGAGAACTGATGAAAAGAATCTTCATTAGAAAAGTAACCTCCCATTTTTGGTACTTTTTTTTAAATATTTTAATTAGAGCAACATTTTTTCTTGGTAGAAAATTCAGTTTTGAAGTTTATTTATTGGTAGATGAGAAAGTTTACTGGATCTAAGGGATGAACAGAACAGACTAAAATAAAAGGTAAATCTGCGAACAACAAGAAATTGAAACGATACTTGGTTTTTCTTTTTAAACTTACAAAAAATTAGTTGGTGGATAGGAGTGTCCTTTTCTTTAAATACAAGCTGGAAGAGCAAAGAATAATAAAAGTTAATTGGAAAGAGTGTTGAAGCAATCGCAAGACTTGAATTAAAAGCACACCTACTTTTTGTAACTACTGTTTTTTGTGAATAACCTATCCATGCTTTTCGTGTTAGCAGGTCACATAGGTATTGAGAGATGGTTAGAACATAAGAACCTACATATTTTGTAAACATGATCTCTTACACGAAAGACTACAATTTTAAAACAATGCATAAAAAAATGGCGATAAAATCATTTTTGCGGCCAAATGGAAGCTGAAGTTTACATACCAGAGAGACAATTCTAAGAATATCATGCTAAGAATTTAGGTACCCAATTACTATAATTGGTTGATTTGAGAATTGCACTTTTCTGTTGTTAATGCTACAGGAATGTAAATATTTTCTAATTTCAAGCGGTAAGGAACAAAAACGTCAAAAAATGTTTTGATCTTTGAATTTAGAATGAGTGACTTGCAGATTCTGAATAAAAGTACAAAGCTGAAAGAAATGGGGGCAACATGAATATGTGCGCGAACAAAATTACTTGCAGCTCAGGTTTTTGAATTGATAAACCGGTTAAAGTTATTTTAAATTTTTAAAAGTTCATTCGGTTGCCTATTAAAAGCCAAAATGAGGCACGTTAGTGTGAAATGAGGGGAGACCTTTGATAAGGAGCTTATACATTCTGAAATTTCCATGAGAAGGGAGAATTTCCATGAGAGAAATTTTGAGACTTTACTAACAAAATGTTGGGAATCTTGACCAAATTTCTAGAGCTTTGATTTTCCTGAAAAGCGTTAACCGAAAAATTTTGTCAAAAACTTAAAACAGTGAGAAACGGACTGAGTTGAATAGGGTAAATACAAGTGATGACCTTTTTTACATCTCTTTTCTGAGTAAATGAGGCAAATCAAACGTTTCGGCAAGAGACAAAAATGTCTCTTGAGAAATAATCTGTGTTTTCGAACTTTTGGCAGCACTACTAGATGCCTCCATCTTGGTAGAACTGGCATGGTTATTCCAGAAGTTGTGGCATGAGAAGATCAAACATTGTTTGCAATTGTGAATATTAAAATGTCAGCTGAAGGATTATTAAGCAGTCCTCGTTCAAAATGATGAAAGGCTTCTAGAGGTGTCTGTACAAAAATTTGCAACCAAGAATCCTCCAAGCACAGGTTGGGGAGAGAGTACTTTAACTTACCACAAATTTCACTGATTTCGGTAAGGGTTGCAAGGAATTTTCATCACCACTATCAGAATCAGAGTTGAAAAGAGTAAGTGGTTCGTAAATGCGACCGAGGTTGACCTGATTCAAATATTCAATGGATCAAAGCAAAATAGTCATTTACACTGGAAATTTTCTTTCGTAAAAAACTTACAGTATGTAGGGAGCTTTGAGGTATGCACAAATTGGGATAGCATGATTCAATGAAAGCAACTATGACAAAATTAGTTTCTTTTCTTTGAAAGAAACGAACAGTGTATATCCATTCACAAACAGAATGGATTCCTATCCATTTTATTGTTCCCTAGTAACTACTATGTGTTGATTATAGACAAAATGAACTAAAGATACTAAAAAAATCCTTTTCATGTCAGTAACTGAGCTCTTACGATTCTGGTGCACACATGCACATGATAAAGATAATTATAGAGAGGAAAATGCAAGCCAAGAGTATAAACTTTGCCAGGTCCAGAAATTATGATAGACATCACTTTAAACTATTTCATGAACCAAAGTGGTGCAAATAATTTACGAAACATGAGCATTTGTGAATATCATTTCATAACATGGCAGTTTCTTGACGATTTTGTTTTTTTAAAAGAAAAGAATAGGGTAGAAATATATGAAATATTTTGTCTCTCTTTTCAATACTGCTTTTTCCTTTTAGCTCTGTTTATTAGATATAACTTCTTCCATAATACATATACAACTTTTTTCCATCTTTTACGATGAGTACTTTTCTACCTCCCTCTTTTTTGATATAAAATAATGTGAAAATCTACTTTCCATTTTTTTTTAAAAAATCTATTATATCGTTGAGCTTATTTCCACCTAAGCTTGTTTAATGGTACTTTATGGAGAAATTAAAGAGAAAATACTTCGATAAATACATTCAAAAAGAATCATTCAGTTCTCATATTAAATTTTTGATAAAACTACAAAATCTTAAATAATTTCACTGTCTCGTTGGTTTGGCAGCATAGCTTATGAAAAAATGGATTAATTTTATTTAAAGTCTACGCTAAATTACCTACTGAGATATGACATGATAACATTAAATTAAATGAAAAAGAGAAGAAGAAGCACAACGCATCACTAGAAGTGAAAATACCAGAAAAATGAGATCAAATACCTGAATCAAGTAATAAAAAAAAGGTGGGGAAAAAGTAAATAAAAAAATAAATAAATAAGCTGGTGTCTAAGTTATTAAGCTGCTAAAATTAATGTAGAATCATCGAAAAAACAGCCTTATTACATGCTAGCTGGTTAGGTATTGTTGCTGTAAAAAGCATAGATTCACAAGAGATTTCAAAACTTTTGTACTCACGAAAAAAGTTTCGCATCCAATGGAATTCTACAATACGAAAAAATATCAATGTATGTACTGAGTGCTAAGAAATTCATCCAATCAATTATAGACATAACTTTGGTCTTTACAGAATTAATTTTTTGTTTTTTGAGGCAAATGGTTAGGAAATGATATAACGGTTAAAAACGCAGTATGGACTTCAAAACCACTTATCTACTGATGACCAAAGTAAGTATCTTTTCCACAAGAATTCTAGGATATGATTTCACCTCATGGAGGCGGAATGGGCAGAAAGTTTGGGTTCTGTATCATGCATTTTCCATAGAAATCGAATGCTACATTCATAAAGAGTTTGAAAACAAAGTTACTGCCCAAGCAGCCTCAATCAGCAAACAAGAGCAAGTTTGGAGTGATGTGAATGGTAACACGGCAGACCTAGAGCTATGTAGCATGGCTACTCGTTGAGTCTTTTTTCAACACTGCCCTCACCTTTTCTCATTTCCGAGAACCACCTGATGCCTTCAAGGTGACTTGAGAACAAAATTTAGGCAAACTATTTTTGGTTTCAGGAAATTTTCAAATTATCTGACTTATTTGCCCTTATTTGAGGAAAATTATATCTTTACACTTTCAATTAATATTTTAGAATCTACTGCAATTAGTTCAATTTGATTCAGTAATACGCAAAAGAGCAAATTCCTCCTCCTTCAAGATTTTAAAGGGGATCGGGTTTTGAGTAGCTGAGGAACCTGTTCAATTTCATTTCTCAGTATAAAAATACTGCTAAAAATTAGATGGACGCTGATCATGAAAACTAAGTGTGAATCATGCATTAAAATTCAAAACTTAAAGGCTAATGATAATGAAATTGCAAACAATAGCTAATTTAGACAGAATAATAAAAAAAATGAAAACTGAAAGAAACAAATGAAGAAAAAAACAAATTAAACTCTCAGAGAGCAACAAGCCACAATATGAAAAACTTTCAAAATCTCTCTCCCTAGATTGAAAGTACAAAATTAAATGTTAAAAAGAAATTTCAATCAACAAAACTTACTTTGCGAATCTTTCTTTTTGGAGAGGATCTGCGGCCTAACTTCAATGTTGCAGCAAAGGTCATAGATTCTTGTACCGTTAGTAGTGGCTGCAGGTGATTGTCTTGCATGATGTAGCAGGACTGTTTTGCAAAAAGAGTGTCATTTTTGTCTTTCCCATCAATTAAAACTTTCCCATCAACACCTTCAGTCCTGCAACACGACTTATTCATTTAGTCAAAAAATTAAGCAATGCTACTTCAGAAATATTATGTTTCCACCAAGTTAAAAATAAACCGACTGTTTACAGAAAAACAAAAAAAATATCAGAAGTATACTCCAGCCAACAACTTCTAGTTTATTTATTTTGTTAGAATTTATCACCTTCCATCTCCTGAAAAGGGTTATGGTACTGTGTCTTTATCAAAATGTTAGAAACCACTTGCATATTTCTGCTCGCTCAGTAAGGACTATTGAAGTTGAGTTTGAAATGAGGCACCCCACTTCACTATCCATTCATATGCTAGGTAGTGTATTCTTGTCACCCCTGCCTTCAGAGAATTTGTAGAGGTAATTATTCTTTCCTTTTTCAATTCTAAGTCTGTGAAAAAGTTCCTTGACTTTCAACAATTATTAAGGTAATTCCATGACATTTCCAGGTTTTTGTGTCACATTTCCCCCCAAGAATTCTAGGTTTTTCAGACGTTTTGGAAAGCAGTTGTAAAAAAATTGAACCCCACTAGGACCATGTGTGGTTTGCTTAGAACTCATGACAGATAAGTTGGCAGTTGCTTACTTTTGACTGTCTTGCGCAGTAGACTGGTTAGTGTACCTGCACATAGGGGTTGTGTTGCCCTCAGTCTATCTTTGTTTGCTTTCGGACCGCGGCAGCACAGTCACTTGAAAACAGAAAGTAAACATTTTCCGACTTACCTTCGGCAAATTCTATTGTAAAAATGGACCACTAGACAGGGTACGAATTTTAGCATTCTAATACATGTTTCTGAATCAAAATTTCACGTAGAATACGATTCGCGCAACAAAAGTTATTGAAACCAACTCTTAACGAAGATATTAACGTTTTTATTCCACATCAGTTACGAGGCATTTGAACTGGCCGCTCACAAGAAACTCAAAGCTCTACGTGAGTCAAATCGCGCACTACAACGGTTTCAGCAAGCTTCTCAATCGAGCAATGTTCATTTCCCACCATGTGTTGTTCAAACTATAAGCAATTTGCTATAGCTGAGCCAAAGCGTCAGGACTTAGGTTGCCAGATTTATATATCGCTGAGACGTTGATGATAACGTTTAGCGCTCGATGTGAATCACGTAGAGCATTGAGTTTTCATGAGCGGGTGGTTTCAATTCACGCATCAAGAATCATTAAATATCTTCGCAAGGAGTTAATTTCGGTAATTTTCGTTGTGCGTATCGTGTTGTACGTGAAATTTTGGTCAGGAAACATGTATCAGAATGCTGAAATTCGTACCTTGTCTAGTGGTCCATTGTAGGCCTCCTGCAAACCAACTTGTACTTACTAGTAATATGGAAAGTTTTTAGTTTCACAATCAACTAGTACAAATACTTCAGATTTTAGTGTGCTTTGATAGAAGTACAGTCTTGAAAGTCATTGTTTGATATAAAGTTTCTTACGTAAATCCTGTGAGAATGTTCAAGAGGGAAGTTTTTCCTGCCCCTGAAGGTCCTATGATTGCAGTGACTTGCCCATTTTTAAATTCACCGTTGATTGAGTTCAGTAATTGTTTGGTCCCTGGAAAAATAATATCATGAAGTAGACACGATTAGTTTTCAATCAAAGACATTGAATCACGTAGACCGTGCATCCTGTGTTACGAAAGGCGTGACAACTTTTAAAAATTTGCATGCGGATGAGTGTTAGCACCGACCTGCGTCGATGAATTCCTGTGTCCTAATTGCGCACATCTGTGCATGCGCAGTGAATTTTGTGAATGTGTGCTGGTATATTTTTGTCAGACTGTGAGGTTTCTTTCTCGCTTGGTAATTAGTTCAGAAAAGTCAAACTTTGCGATTCGGTTGTAAACTTACATGTTCTCCAACTTATATCCTTAGGAATTTTGTCTGGAAATGGACTCAAAAACGAGTTATTAGCAAAAAACCGAGTGCGCGAAGGGATTCTCCATGAATTCTCTGCAGTCTCTTCGAGTGCTTGGGACACATGCTCTCTCCCCAAAACCAAGTCGGATGCACGGTTTACGTGATTCAATGTCTTTGTTTTCAATAAATAATAGAGAGAAATTTCTTTGGTACAAAATATGTATTCATTGTTGACCTGCTAACTAAAGTGATTGCATTGCACAGCCCGAGTTCTTCCTTAAGAAAAGCCATGGGGTCTACAAGAGAGTATGTGACTGGAATGCCGGAGTCTTTCTAACCTAAAATTCATGAAACAAGCTGATTTAAACAGCATCTTCATCTCTAACATATCATTGACCTGAAATTCTACTTGCAATCACACATGAAAATTTTTGGTATTTTTAGAATACATAAGCCTGTATCAAAACTGGCTGTATTGTGCAAAAAGAGTCTCACCATTAGATGTGAATGAATTTTGCGCCTGTGGAATTAAGTGCACCGAAAAAACGTAGAAAAGGATCAAATTTTCACTCTCCAGCTAAGATCAATACCTCAATTTCTACATGACTCTCTTGGACAGTAAGAAATTTTTTTTTTTTTTTTTTTTTTATTTGTTCAGAATCAAAATTTGCACAAAATACACTTAGAGACATTTTTAAATGTCTTTTTAAGCTTACAATTAATTTGACTGTAAGATTAACTTACCTATACTAAATATACATTTTATCTTATCTTAAATAATAACATACTACCTCTTTACAGTGAGGAGATAAAAAGTACACAATTATTCTTGTAAATAAAAATGTCTTTCTGTTTTAGCTTTAACGTCTTTTTGTTTTATTTGAGACTACGGTCGACCGTCACCGGCCAAAGACCCAGGAACCCCTGATCCATCCGAAGGTACGGGGGGGCACACTTGTTTAGGGGGAAAAGTTTTGAGAAGCCCTGAATTCCAAGCTCATAGGGCTTACGTCTTTTCAATCTGCGACCACACCAATCCCATTCCAGGAGCGCAAGCGCTTCCTGGTTGGGGTGACGGTGCAATCTCATCTCGTACGCAGAGTACATCTTGGTGATGTAATCCTCTACAGAATCAATATTAAGGTCTGCGCGAATATCTGCGTTCCTCTCGTACCACATTGCTTTAACGACACTTCTTAAAATCTTCATTTGCATGACTTCTATTTTATCTACATTTGACTTGGCTGCGCAACCCCACAATTGGCAACCATGACTCCAAACTGGCCTCAACATTGACTTGTAGAGGAGCAACTTTAGATGTAGGGAAAGTCGAGATTTGCGCCCCAAGAGCCACTGCATGTTCGAGAATTTAAGTCGCAGTTGAGCGACTTTTTTCTTAATGTGAGCGCCCCATCTAAGCCTGGAATCCAGGTGGAGGCCCTCGATACTTAGCGATATTATCGTTAGGGAACAGTAAGAAATGATATGGATAATACTGCCGTGCTAAGGAAGAACACCATATGAACATTCGAGAGTTGCCGAATTTCCTTTGATAAAATGTTTATTTAGGAGGAAAATAATGAATATTTTTCCATGAAATTTTCAGGGACTTTAGATAAAAATACAAAGGATATTCTCTGAAAAATTGGAAGAAAAATATTCATAAGTTTACCAGGGAATTTGTGTTTTATCGAAGAAAATTAGGCAACGCCTGAAGGTTCAAACGGCGTTTTTCCTTAGCACGGCAGAATAGGACTTGACTAAAAAAAATGGTTTCACCCTGGGTTACGTCGGGAGTGACGGATTAGGTATAAATTATTTTTTTTGTTAAATTCAATGAGCTGAGAAAAGCAACAAAATGAGCAAAAATAAAAAAGCGATAACATACCTCTATTCAATGGATTTAATCCTGTTTTTACAGAATACGATAAATCACTGAACGAAATATCAGAGAATCTGTTCGCCGCATCACTGGTTGGGCCACGTTTCTGGACAGTTCTCTTTAGGGGTAGATCCTGCTGCTTCCCTTTGTTCGGGGACAGGACCTTCGTAACTTTGGACATTATCACTAAAATCCGAAATACCTACGAGGTAATTTCAACCAGGATACTGGACATCTTATTCTTAAGAAGTTGACTTGTTTTTTTTTTTTTTTTTTTTTTTATTGGGTGAAATAACAACAATCTACAGACACAGTATTTGGTTGAAGTTGGATAAAAACTAAAAAGCCTCACGGGAACGATTGTTGGCTAAAAAGAACGAGTGGGGAGAAACTCAGCATTCTGAGATCTAAGACCTTAAACTACGTAAATTTAATCCCCGAGAACTAAAACTAAAACCTTCTGCTGGTTGTCACTAGGTTCTAGGTTGTCACTGAGCATAGAGAAAAAAAAGGAGGTGTTTGCATTTCGGGCATCTTGGAATTTTTCATAGAGTATCTATAGCTTTGATGACGTCATTGGGTACAGCGACGTTTTTATCCTGTCGATTTTCTTGGAAATGGTGTAATTTAAGGGAAAAAGTCATTCTATAAAAAGTGCTTGAAATTAAATAAAGAGTTGATTTAAGTAAAAAAATCGGACATTATGGTCCGTTTTTACAGCGTCAACATAACCCTCAACGAGCGTCTTGTTTACATTGATGACGTAGGTGGGTACAAATCCTCAAGATGCAAACACCTCCTTTTTTTTCTCTATGGTCACTGAGAGTCAGTGTTCCCAGGTGCTCCTATCTTAAAATGTCCGTACGCTCTCCGGATGAACTCGGGGAGGCTCGTGTATATCCGTGCCGCTCCGTGCTCCGTCCGTGTTCCGTGAATTCCGTTTCCGTTTCCGGTTCCGGCTGTTTTGTTGATAATGTTGATGTTCTCTTGATCTCTTGTGACATTCAAGTACCTATGTCCTCTAGAAAGCATTGACAGGAAAAAATAATCGGAACAATTATAGGTGCCTACATCAAAAAGCAATAATTCAAAAGAAAGGAGCTGACTTTTCATGAAATTCATAATTCCTAACCCATTGAACTGATTGAATAACACATAAATTAATGCAGAAAGGTCCTGTATGATACCTGGGTTTTATTCGTGGCTTCCTTATATCAATAACATTGGCGAAATTGAGAAAAAAAAGTAAGAAAAAATGTCTGAGTGATCAAACACAAAAGCACAACAATACAGAAAACAAGGACGGACCTTAAATGAAAAGGCTGAATTTTGATAAGAATACAATATAATTAATGCGAAAAGTATCTAATTTGTTCCCGAACGATACCCGGCTTTCATACTAAACATAATTGTATCAATAACTTACGCAAAAGTAATAAATATTGCAAAGAAAAGCGGATTAACAGATGCACGGACTGGGCCGGGCGGGCGCACGGACATAAATGAAATGACTGAATTTTGATAAGAATACAATATAATTAATGCGAAAAGTATCTAATTTGTTCCCAAACGATACCCGGCTTTCATACTAAACATCATTGTATCAATAACTTACGCAAAAGTAATAAATATTGCAAAGAAAAGCGGATAAACAGACGCACGGACAGGGCCGGGCGGCATATTCCCAAACCCCGCGTGGATTGTGAAAAATCTAGCCTGTCCTCAAAATCGTTAGCCGCTGCCTTCTGAGCCCTGCCGCGGTCGGCATGGGCCTCTTCAGCAAGTGGCCTTGGGCACTGCGGCCATCCTCTCTCCTTTCTCCTTTCTCCTTTCTCCCGTCTGATTGTCTCTTCAACCCTCCGAAATGAATGGGGGTGATCTCGCGGTCCACTCTTTTTGTTTTCCGGAAAACATCGTCTTCCTCCTCAAAACAAGCCCTTCGCAGAGTTGTCACATGATGAGCGCATTTTTAAATGCACCATTGACTAGTACAAGAAAAACCGTGATTATTCGATCCACTTGGGATGATTTTTTCAGATCAGAGTCAAGTCATACCCTGTCTCTTCCGAAATGGATTTCAAATAACGAACATCGATGATATTGATGCAGGCGGCGTGTTGCCTCCTAATTTATCAGTGTCCAAGGGATGTTCGTGCCTGATTTGATTCATTGCAATGATTCCAAACACCGCGGAAAAATTGATCAACCTTGCTTTAAAACATCATTTTCATTTGAAATTTCAGTATTTATTGGTTTCTGCCTAAATTCCTTGAATATTAATGTCCAGTCTCTTAAACGACGAAGTTGAATGATGAACTTTTTTGGGGAACATTTTTATTTTTCATGTAAATTTCTATTCCTCTTTAATGGGGTTTTAATATCTCTCTTATTGGTTCGGGTGAGACACCAAGTACATATTCATCCTCGCAAATGCGGAGACTTTTTTTTTTACTCTTCTTCACCACCTATTCATTGTTTATCCTTTTAAGCAAGGTGATAGGTTCTGCGCAGAGCTATAAGTAAAAGAAAGGAAATATTTGAAAGAAAGAAACAAAAAAAAATTACTTGAATTTTTCGTCGAGAATAATGTTCTTGAATCAAGAATAAGATCACTTCCGACTGTTTTGCTGTTTATTTTTCGTTGAATCTGCTCAGAGTTTTTCCTGGCGATTTAAAGGACATAAATCGACTGTGAATGAATTTCATTTGCCGCGAACGGTAAGAAAACTGCGCAATCGCAACAGCATGGCAAGCTCCATTCGCCCTTTTACCGAAAAAGTCCTCAAATTCTGCTGTTTCAAAAGATTCAACTGAATAAATAAATATTACATCGATTAATTCGTGGCCAAAACTGTTGAGAAGAAATCAGAGGAAGGGCATGAAGGTTGGACGGAGATGAGAGACTACCTGAGCCGAGCCGGTGCGGAGGAGTCTCGGACCCGCACAAGGGGCTTCGGTTGGGGTCTAAACGGGATTTCACAATCCACGCGGGGTTTGGGAATATGCGGCCGGGCGAGCGTACGGACAAAATAAGATAGGGAAAAATTTTCCCATAAGGTTTTTGTCCGTACGCTGTCCGCGCGGGTATAGGGAATGTCCGCGCGGCGCGGAAATATCCGCACGCCTGGGAACACTGCTGAGAGTCGTTCAAACTGACGGAGTGACGCAAGAACAGAGGCCAACGTTTGACAAAAAGAATGACCCGAAAAAGCATCAAATGATGCTCTTCGGCTTCGGGTCGGCACACCGGTGACCCTACAAAGATGGCGGAACCTATTTTGCGCGGCAAATTCAAATTGAGCGCGGTATTTTTAATTATTTTCAAATGCGTGACTGGTTTCTCTGACGAGGAAACGTTTTGCTAGAGTCCCTTTATACCCAGAGTAACGACAACTCGATTATCAGCTGACTGGCAGCCGACCTTGGCTGGCCATGGAGGCCGAAACTAGTGCACTCAAACGAACGATATTGGGGGATAAGGATCAGGAATCCTGCGATGTCTGTCACACAGAAACAACAACATCAACAAATTGATCAATTAAAAAGAAAATGAGATTGGTTTGTGAATAATTTCTTAATCTATTTTCATTTTGGACCGATGGCAATAACAATTTTACTCTTGATAAACCACAATTAGGTAATATTTTCATTATTCTTGTTCACATACGAGGTACCGCCATCTTGGTGCACTAGTTTCGGCCTCCATGAGCGAGAACCAATCAGAATTGGATTTTTTTTTAGGCCACTTTCAGCCCAATCCTGGCCTAACCAAAAGTGAGTTGTCGTAACTCTGGGTATAAAGGGACTCTACGTTTTGCGTGGTAGTTTCGTGATTTTGTTTATGCGCATATTTTCGATTGAACTTGAATTTCATGCGTTGGTGCCATTTTCACAAGCTATACTTCATTTTTGCACTATGAATTGATTCAATAAAATTATTATTACTCTTTTATCCCGTGTATGTTCCACAATTTTTCCGGAATAATCAGGAAATCTGGGTCAATTGAAGTTAATATTATTGGAATGATAAGCATAACAGAGGTGTTAATGTTCTTTGAATTAAGATTTCTGATGATTACAGTTGATCTTTTAGAAATTCTGTGAGTAGCAATGTAAAATATGAAAATCCTATATAATGATCTTAAAAATATAATTACTATTACACTATACAGCGACGCCTCCCTAGAAGCATACTATGTAAAATTTACGTAAAGTAAACAGAGAGTCGTTTTGAAAAACAACCAGCATCTAAATTTTGTTAAATTCTAAAAATCATTAATACCTATTGGTGCCAAACACAGAATAAATTGTAAAATTTGCAACTTAAGGAATACTAGAATACTTAAATTTATGGTTTATATGTTACTGCGTTCAAGTGCAAAATTATTTAAATATTTTGATTGCACTGTGTGACTATTTGGGACAAAAAAAGGAGGACAGCTAGAAGGGGGATTTTTGCGAAAGGGTTGAAAGGAAAGAAAGATTGCACGGATAGGACAAAGTTCTTAACGTGTTCGCACGTGCTAACTACCGGCGGCGATGCGATGTTCTTATGCATTTGTTTACTTTTCTACTCATGCGTTTAAGTCTCCAAACTCATGCACGCTCAGAAAAGCAGCGACTCGTGCGTTCAGCTAAAATATTACGATGGCGCATATTTGTGCATGAAATTTTCACGTATCACGGTGTTCACACGGCGATGTTACTACAAATTTCTACTTTCTCCATACCTCTCCTTCTTCTCCACCCCCTCTTCTTATTCTCGGATATAAATAAAAAATAAAAATAGTCCCATGAGAACAACGTAAGGTAGAGTACCTATACGTATAGGAAGAGTATGGACGACTCGAAGTATGTAGCTCTTAGGGCCCAAAAGGGACCTTTTCTGTAACCTTTGAAAACGAAAAATGTCACCGTCAAACTTTAGACTCCAATATCAAACGAAAATGGACAAGAAAATTCATAAGTAAGCATTCTTCCGCAAAAATGAGGAAGTTGATGCAGCATGAAAACAACGTAAGGTAGAGTACCTATACGTATAGGAAGAGTATGGACGACTCGAAGTATGTAGCTCTTAGGGCCCAAAAGGGACCTTTTCTGTAACCTTTGAAAACGAAAAATGTCACCGTCAAACTTTAGACTCCAATATCAAACGAAAATGGACAAGAAAATTCATAAGTAAGCATTCTTCCGCAAAAATGAGGAAGTTGATGCAAAAACCAAGTCAAATACGTGCTTTACCATAACGACGGTTCTCAACAATTGTGATTGTAAATCATTCTGGATAATTTGAATTCATGGATTGCCTACCCTTTTGGAGTCTAAGAGCTCCATCACCTAACATCAAAATTTTCGACTTGTCCATACTCTCCCTATGTAGGTACTCTAACGTAAGGTGACCATTCACGCGTCAGTGATCGTTTGATGGTAATAAAGGACAAATGCGCTTGAAGGACCCAAAATTGAACTCGGCCTTCATGGGTGAAGGGGGGCATTGCTGG